CCGATGCCTGGGTCCCAGCCGTGGAGCTCTAGAGATTCCAGATTATTTGATCTGGGATGTAGCTGGGGGCATTGGCATGTTTAAAAGCTTCCTAGGTGATTTTTTTTCTTAGCATTAAAAAAAACTAAGGTGAAATTGACATATGAAATTTCCCATTTTATTTCATTTTAAAATGGGCTGCACGCCCAGTGTAGAACCCAACACAAGATTTGAACTCACAACCCCGAGATCAGGATCTGAGCTGAGATCAAGAATCAGATGCCTAACTGATTGAGCCACCCATGTGCCCCCCCAAATTTGCCATTTTAAAGTGAATGGCAAATCCCCCTAAAAGGAGACCCTGTACCCATTAAGTGGTTGCTCCTTCCAGCCTGGGGCAACCACTAATCTCTCTGTCATTACTGATTGGCCTATTCGGGATATTTCATATAAATAGAACCATATAATATGAGACCTTTTATGTTTGGCTTCTTCCACTCATAGGACAGCATCCCATGCTTGAGGTTTGTATGTGTAGCAGATATCAGAATGTCCTTCCCTTTTACCACTGAGTACTATCCTATCATATGGATGGATCACAGTTTTTTTGACCTACCCATCCTTGTGCAGCCGAGGTTGAGAACCACTGGCCTAACCTTGTATGGCCTCACCTTCAAATTGGAATAATAATATCTACTTTGCCAGGATGTGGTGGCCTTTAATGGGAGGTACATGGATGGGTCAACCATCAGTAAGAAAAATGGTGCCTGGGCTCTTTGGGCTCCCCAGGAAGAGGTGGAAAGTATGTCTATTCTTGTGGCCTCTTGAGCCATTTTTTTAAAGAAGACTTAGTTATTTTAGAGAGAGAACATGAACAGGGGGAGGGGTAGAGGGAGAGGGAGAAGCAGACTCCCCACTGAGCTCAAAGCCTGCCATTGGGCTCAATTCCATGACCCATGAGATCATGACCTGAGCCAAAATCAAGAGTCAGTTGCTTAACCGACTGAACCATCCAGGTGCCCCACTTTTGAGCCATATCACCTCATGGTACCTGTAGGGTTGGTAGTAGTGTCTCTTTTTATATATAAGGAAGCTGCAGTCCAGAGAAGGGAAGTAATTTCCCCCAGGTCTCCAAGCACCTAAGTAACTCTGCAGAGATTTTCCATGCAGCTATGCCCAGCTCCAAAGCCCTGACTTCATCTGTTCAGAATGGAATTCAGCCTCTGTCCTTGCCTCCCTGCTGGCATGGACTCTGGATCCTGACTCTATATGGGGAGCTCTCCATGTGGAGTTGCCCTCCCCTTCTCTCACAAATGCCATGGTCCCGTGGTTATCTAAGTAGGAGGGTTGGCCACAGAATGGTGATTCTGTTCTTCAGACAGGAGGCAGAAAGGCCCACTTCCCACCTTTAGTTTAACTAGTAACAGCCTCCTGGAAATATCAACTCTTTGGAGAGGAACTTCCCAAAATCTGGAAGGCTGCTCCTTTCCTGTCATCTCTGTTCTAGAACATTCTAAATTTTATCTATATGCTTCATCTGTTAAAAATGAGTCCCTTATCTCTCTACTGGGAAATGGATAAACAAGCTATTGTACGGCCAGACAACAGAATAGGGCTCAACAGTAAAAAGGAAGGAGCCATCAGAACACAGTGACAACACGGGTGGACCTCACATGCATGATGCCCAGTGAAAAAAGCCAAACTCAAAAGGCTATGCAGGAAAAAAAAAAGAGAGAGAGAGAGGATGGAAGGGCTGAGAATAATCACCAAGAACAGTAATGTGTGATTTAGGAAGGCCCATTTTCTCCTTGTATAAAACAAGTTTATCTTAGATGCATTTTATTTTATTTTTTTAAAAGATTTTATTTATTCATTTGACAGAGAGAGGCAGCAAGAGAGGGAACACAAGCAGAGTGGAACTGGAGAGGGAGAAGCAGGTTTCCTGCTGAGCAGGGAGCCCGATGCAGGGCTCGACCCCAGGACCCCCAGATCATGACCTAACCGAAGGCAGATGCTTAACTGACTGAGCCACCCAGGTGCCCCCTTAGATGTATTTTAAATAGAACTAAGTAAATCCCTGCTTGGCATTCAGAGCCATTTCTTCCCACCTGAAAGCACTTTGACTTTATAAAATAAATTCTTTTTAGACATTAAAAAAAAAACCCCAAAAACAAAACCGCTGCAGGCCAACCCTGCGATGGCATTTACATAGGGAAAGACAAAGCTATAGGGGCAGAGAACAGGGTGGTGGTTCTGCGCTTGGGGAGGGGTAATCGGGGACCCTGTGTGTGTGGGTGTTTGGGGAGAATGAAGGATCTCTTATTAATCTTGATTGTGGTGGTTGTGACGTCAGTCTCCATTTGCCTGAGCTCATAAAACTGGGTAGCAAAAAAGGGCAAGAAATTATACTGTATGTAAATGCAAAGGAAAAGTGACAACCTAAATAAAACAATTCATTGTTTTCTTAAGAAATGTCTGCCTAGAGGCTCTGAAGGAAGAAAGTAGGCCACAAGGAGGTAAAGAAAAAGTTCTTGGTTCTGGAGGGTTGTGGGAACTCTCTTTCTTGGGCATTTGCCCTGGGGCCCTGGGCCCTTGTCTCCCAGCCTTTTTCTCAGCCCGCCTTTCTCCTGTTCAGTGGCTGGAGCATGGGGCAGAGACAAGGAGGGTTTTGTGGAACCCAGAAACAAATAAAGAGCTACCCATCATGGGTCACCACAGCAACGCGATGTCTCCCTTGAACCCGTGTGGCTGGCACCGTGGGTAGCTTACTGGTGTTTGTTAAGGGAGCAGAGGAGAGAGTGGCCGTGCTGTGCCTGGTGGCAGGTGGACAAGTGCTCCCTCAGCCCCAGACTCGGTTTCCCACCTTGCAGAAAGACGTCGGCCGTGTCCCTGCACAGTTGGCCTCTGCCCACCCTCGCCTCGTTGGCACAGCCCTCTTGGGGGCTTTTGGGTGGGATCTATCAAAATGAACACTGCGCCTACCTGTGTTAGTGTCTCTAGGGCTATAGTACAAATGGCCATACACTTGGTGACTGAACACAAATTTGGTCTCCCAGCTCTGGAGGCCGGAAGTGCAACACCAAGGTGTCGACCGGACTGACTCCTTCCAGAGACCCTGAAGGAGAGGCTTCTGTGCCGGTCTCCCAGCCTCTGGCAGTTTCAGCAGCCCTCTGTGGTCACATCACTGTGATCAGTGTCTCCATTGTCTCGTGGGCTTCAGCTCTGTGGTTCTTTCCCCATAAACACCCTAGTCATAGCAGATTGGGGGCTCACCCTCCTCTGGTGAGACCTTATCTTAACTGAGGACACCTGCACCAGCTGTGTTTCCAGATGAGGTCACTTTCTGAGGTCCTTGGGGGTTAGGACCTCCACCCACATAGGAATTTTGGGAAGACACCATTCAGCCCATAACACTGCCCCATACACACTGGGCTGCTTGCCACCCTGCTCTGCACACTCCTGTCTACTCCGTGGGCCAGCACCCTTCCTTCTCCTACCTGTCTTTTTGTCTGGTAAACTCACTTATCCCTCGATATCTGTCGGCCAGGGCCCGCTGTGGAGCTGGGTACTGTGCGGGTGTGCCTGTGCCTTGGGGATCCTGTGCCCTCTTGGAGGCCTTCACACTCTGCCGTGTCCCTCTCAACTCCAGCTAGCATGTAGTAGGAGCTCCTGAGCATTTCCTGAAAGGACGGGGAGCACGAATCACATGGTATTGGGATTTCTGCTTGGATCTGGTGCCTTCTGGATTGTGAGCTTCTTGAGGGCAAGGCCGGGTCACCCCAACCTACTGTCCCTAGATTTCAGTGTAAAACCAGCATACAGAAGGTGCTTGACAAATGCTCTATGAACTGTGTGGCACTGATCCGGCGTAGAGTTATTGAAAAATCCTCCGTGAAGTATGTTTAACACGGATACGGCATACAGGAGGTGCTCCATAAATGCGTTGTGAACTTCATTGGCACAGATCCAACACACAGAAGGTGCTCCATAAATGCTCTGCGATCTGTCATGATGTGGTGCCAGCACCCAAAAGCTCAGGATATGCTCGGAGACCTGCACTGGGCAGGGACTCAGCGGAAAGAAGGTGCTCTGTAAATGCTCTGTGAACTCTACCGCGCTGAGCCCTGTGTTCTGAGCCACATGTCCGTCCCTTATGTCTGTGGGTCTTCAGAGTAATTACTGGGATCCTGGGGGGAAGTATTTGATGTCGCAGTGGAATTTAACTCCATTGGCCGGGGTGACGGTCAGCAGAGTCCAAGGGGAAACAGGTGAACGGCTCTTTTCCCTGATCCTGAGCCTGTGTGGTCCAGGGAGGGAACCAGGTGCTTGCAGACCTCACCCCCCAGCTCTCCGACACCCCTTCCCCACCCTGCCGGGCGACCTTCCCAGCCTGACTTGCACCATCCCTAACCACGCACCAAGTCACGCCAGCCTGACCCAGCACTAAGTGTGTCCCACCTTGGGGGGGCGACATTCCTACACTCTGCACTCTAGCCTCCCCTCTGCAAAATGGGTGGGGTGGTGTCTCCCTCCGAGCTCCCGTGTGGTCAAAGGAGAGACTGGAGGGGGCCCCAGGAATGCCTACTGCTCCAGATAAAGCCTTCTGGCGGTTCCACGTGTGGACCTACGTCCGGCAGCAATGAGTACAATGGTCATGAAAGGAGTGTGTGCAGATGCTTACGGACGGGGTTCTCCGTGGTGGCCCCAGATTGGACCGTCCACCTCCGGGAGAGCAGATAACATAAATAGTGTCTGGAATTCTCTATGGCGATGAAAACAGCTGATCTCTGCATCCAACAATATGAATGAATCTCGCCAAAGTCACGTGGGACCCAAGAAGCCCTACAAAGAAGGATTTGTGCTGTGTGATCCCATTGATGGGAAGTTCAAGAACGGGCCAAACTAATCAATGATGACAGTGTCACAAGTGGTTTCCCTTGAGGGAAGAGTCACTGGGAGGGGCCTTAAGGGCCCTTTCTGGGGGGGGGGGCGGGCCATGAGCTCCAGCTCCTCTTTTGTAGTGGTTATGCGGGTGGGGGCACAAGTGAGACCTGGTCAGGCTGTACCCATAGGGAGCCCTGCTCTATGTCGGTGAGACGGAGGGAAAGGAGAAACAGGAAGTGAAGAGAATTTTGTATTTAGCAAAGTTTTGTAGCGAATACCACATTGGGGATCAGGCACTAAATACTGGCCAGTTCAAAAAAAGTGTAATAGAAAGAGGGAGGAGAGGGAGGTGGGGAGAAGATGGGAGGGGGGCTCCGGAGGAGGGGGATGGGAGGAGAAGGGGGAGGAGGAAGGGAGGAGGGGAATGGGGAGGAGTGGGGAGGGGGAGGGATCCTCTTTTCCCACCAGGAGGGACCCCAACTTAAGGTCTCCTGGGAATCCTGGGACCACAGCCGCTCCCAGCTTCCTGGCCCAGCTTCTGGGAATGATGCCTCTCTTTCCAGGTTCATGAACCACCGAGTCCCCGCCCACAAGAGGTACCAGCCCACCGAGTACGAGCATGCGGCCAACTGTGCCACCCACGCTGTGAGTTGGCTTTTGGGGGGTGCTGAGAGTGGGGGACACTTTCAGGTGGGAGGGGAGCAGGCTCTTCACCCTTGGAGAGAGTCAACATCTCTTCCACAGCAACGTCCCAACTGATGGCAAGTCCTCTGTGGCCCTTGGAAGAGTGAGTGGGATCTGGAGGGAAGGCCATTTGGGTACATTGGACTGTGGTACTGAGCATGCCTCTCTTTTGCTCTGCGAACCTTCCCGGCTCCCTGGTTCCTGCACAGCATCTGGACCCTGTAGGAAGCTTGCAGCAAGTGTTAGCTCCTAAGTCGGCCGGCTTCCCCCGTGCCACACCCTTCTCCCAGGTTCCAGCGCCTGAAGGTGCTGTTTCCTGGGTAGAAGGTACACTTCCAGGCCTTGGCATATGCTGTTCCCTCTGCCTGGAGTACTTGTCTTGTCTAAGAAATTTTTCTCTGGGCAGTGGACCCCTTTGGAAATAATGAAAACTCTAGACCCACGTTGTACGGTTTGGTAGCTGCTGGCCCCGAGTGGCTATCGTGTCCTTGAAATGCAGCTCGTCCCTTGGAGGTGTGCTGGGAGCGTGACCTCCATGCCCACTTGGGAAGACATGGCAGGGAAAACAGGATGTAAAATATCTCCTTAATATGTTTGTGTATAGTACACAGTATTTTGGATATACTGGGCTGAACACAATATAGTATTCACGTTCATTTCACCTGTTTGTTTCTCCCTTTAAAAACATGGGTCCCAGAACATCCAAGATGACCTGGGCGACTCACGTTACAGTTCTGTTTGCTGGGGCTGCCATAGACCGTTTCTCCTGAAAAGGTGCTCCTGACAGGCAGAACTGGGCACACTTTCGGGGGGGGGGGGTCCCTGAAAGTGCTTTGGAGAGTTCTAGACTTCTCCAGGGAAATGATGGGTTAACCAAGGTGTGAAGAGAGAAAGGTTCTCCAGGTGGGCCTGGTGGGGAGGGCTATTTTCTCCAGAAGGTGCTAACTACATGGGCAACCACACAGGTGTGGGGCGGCGTGGCATGCCCAGGGACCGCAAGGTTGATGACCGGTGATGCTCCTTGAGGCGGGGAGCCTTCGTGTTTTCCACGACCTTCTCTAGAGCTGTGCTGCCCAATATGGTAGCCACGGGCTCCGTGGAGTGGCTGAAATTGAGACTAAAATCAATGAAAATGAAATAAAATAAAAAACTTGGGGCACCTGGGTGGCTCAGTGGATTGAGCCGCTGCCTTCGGCTCAGGTCATGATCTCAGGGTCCTGGGATCGAGTCCCACATT